GAAAAGGAGTGAAAAATTCAAGCTAAAACGGCAAGGAGAGCGGTGCTGGCCTCCCCCCGCCGCCCCGGGGCCGCAGGGCCGGGCCAGGCCAGGCGGAGGGGGGTACCCGAGGTCCCCTCAGCCTCAGCGAGGGACCGGCGCGGGGGGGTGCACCCCAAACCGCAGCCCCGGCAGTATAGAATCACAGAATCATAGAATTGCCCAGGCTGGAAGGGACGTCCAAAGGTCCCCCCATCTAGTCCGACCCCCCCCCGCAGTCAGCAGGGACACCCCCAACTAGACCAGGTTGCCCCATCGAGCCTCTCCTTGAATATCTCCAGGGAAGGGGCCTCAGCCACCTCCCTGGGCAACCTGTTCCAGTGCTCCACCACCCTCAGCAGCAATACCTGCTTCCCTTCTTTCCTCCAGTCTATTATGTCATATAACGGCGGGGGGGTAATGGCCATGAAGGGGAAGAACTGCGTGGCCATTGCGGCAGACCGGAGGTTTGGGATTCAAGCACAGATGGTGACCACAGACTTCCAGAAGATTTTCCCTATGGGAGAAAGGCTGTATATCGGGTTGGCAGGACTGGCCACGGACGTGCAGACGGTGTAAGTGAGGCTCCTGCCCCCCTGGTCCCCACACTGAGCCTGTAAGAGGCATATTTACAATAAAATAAGTGGCAGTTTACCCTGAGGAAAAATGTCTTTGCTTATTTGTGAGGGGGGATATAATAGTTCCCTGGGGTGCTTGGTCTCCCTTCGCTGGGAGATTTTTAAATAAAACTGCATGTGATTTAAGATGGCATCGCTACTAAAACTTAATAACTTTCAAGTATAAAAGGAGCTGCATCTGGAATTCCTGCCTGCCTCTGGCATGTGTCAGGAGCTGGTATCTGTCAGCGTGCGGTGGAACAGTTCAGGCCTGGGAGCAGATGAAAGAAAAAGGAACCTGCTTCTGCTCTGTCTAATGCTGATTCTCATCTCTTGCAGTGCCCAGAGGCTGAAGTTCAGGCTGAATCTCTACGAGCTGAAGGAAGGCAGGCAGATCAAACCTCAGACTTTTATGAGCATGGTTTCCAACCTGCTGTACGAGAGACGGTAACTGTCAAACCAGAGTCACTGTTTGTGTGTCAGCGAAGGCTGCGGTTGCTGGAGTTGATTTTTGGGAGGTGGGAGGCTGAGGAGGGCTCTGTAACATCTGCTTGTGGGATGGCAAAAGGAGACTTCAATCCAGTGACAATGTTCTCTTCAACCTCCTTGTAAAAGAATATTGAGTATTGTTACAATAATGCTGTGGCAGTACAAGCGTGATCTGTTTGCCGTGCTAAATCCATCGCAGGGTGCTTCTAGGTTGACCCAAAAGGTCCCCCACCAAAAGCATCAGTGGGGGATGTTCTCCTTGTGAGCTTGTGGGATGGCAAAAGGAGAGTTCAATCCAGTGACAATGTTCTCTTCACCCTCCTTGTAATAGAATATTGAGTATTGTTACAATAATGCTGTGGCAGTACAAGCGTGATCTGTTTGCCGTGCTAAATCCATCGCAGGGTGCTTCTAGGTTGACCCAAAAGGTCCCCCACCAAAAGCATCAGTGGGGGATGTTCTCCGAGTGTGATCTGTTTGCCGTGCTAAATCCATTGCGGGGGTGCTTCCAGGTTGACCCAAAAGGTCCCCCACTAAAAGCATCAGTGGGGGATGTTCTCCTTGTGTGGATGTTTAGGTGGGGTGTGGAGCTGCGCCAACGCCATGTTGTTCTTCACAGGTTTGGACCTTACTACACGGAACCGGTCATTGCCGGGCTGGACCCTGTAACACACGAACCTTTCATCTGCTCCCTAGACCTGATCGGCTGCCCCATGGTCACCGAGGACTTTGTGGTGAGCGGTACCTGCTCCGAGCAGATGTACGGCATGTGTGAGTCCCTCTGGGAGCCAGACATGGTGAGTGAGGGGGCCCAGTTCAGCTCCCCTTCTGGGGTTCAGCCTCCTGCTCGTAACCGGAGAACCCGGTTGTGGAGGAGAAGCTGGACATGAGCAGGCAGTGGGCACTTGCAGCCCAGAAGGCCAATCCCATCCTGGGCTGCATCAAAAGCTGCGTTGCCAGTAGGTCCAGAGAGGGGATTCTGCCACTTTACTCTGCTCTGGTGAGACCTCACCTGGAGTATTGTGGGCAGGTCTGGAGCCCTCAATATCAGAAGGACGTGGACCTGATGGAGAGGGTCCAGAGGAGGGCCACAAGGATGATCAGGGGGATGGAGCACCTCTGCTCCGAGGACAGGCTGAGGGAGCTGGGGTTGTTCAGCCTGGAGAAGAGGAGGCTCCGGGGAGACCTAATAGCAGCCTTCCAGTACCTGAAGGGGGCTACAGGAAGGCTGGGGAGAACCTGTTTAGAAAGGCCTGCAGTGACAGGACGGGGGGCAATGGCTTCAAGCTGGAGGGGAACAGATTTAGACTGGAGATGAGGAGAGGGTTCTTCACTGGGAGGGTGGTGGAGCACTGGGACAGGTTGCCCAGGGAGGTGGTTGAGGCCCCATCCCTGGAGATATTCAAGGAGAGGCTCGACGAGGCCCTGGGCAACCTGGTCTAGTTGGGGGTGTCCCTGCTGACTGCGGGGGGGTCGGACTAGATGGCCTTTGGAGGTCCCTTCCGGCCTGGGCAATTCTATGATTCTAACCTGAGACACGTGGGTTGGGTGAAAAGCTCCATCCTTTGGTTCTTCTCCAAGGAGAACAAAGTGGCCGTTGAAAAGCTCCATCCTTTGGTTCTTCCCCAAGGAGCTCAGGAGAACAAAGAGGCTGTAGCTTATAGCAGCCCGCAGGGAAAAAATCGTGCAGCAGCGTCTTAGATGATACTTTGGGGTTTGAACCAAAATCTGCTGACTCGATATTCGATTTTTACACCAACTAAAGCAGCTTCTGTTCCTCAGGAACCCGATCACCTCTTCGAAACCATCTCGCAGGCCATGTTGAACGCAGTGGACAGAGATGCCATCTCTGGCATGGGCGTGGTAGTACACATAATGTGAGTGCTGCTCCCTTCCCCTACGGAATAGAGGTAGAATTTAACAAGCTGTGACCCTGCTCCCTTCCAGCAGCAGCATCAGAAAGGTTTTATCCATTTTGGGGTGCATTTCTCCTGGCTGTTCTCTGGCTGTTGCTGGAACTGCAGGAGCCACGGAAAATGACTCCCCGACTTAGACTCTTGCTGCAGAGGGATTCCCAGCAGCCTTCCCAGCAGTATTTCGGGGTGTGACTGGGTAGCACTGGCCAAGAGGATGCTCTTTGTCACAGCTGGGTGCGACATTAACTTCCAGACTGACCTCCAAAGGAGGTTGTTCTGGTGGGGCCGTGTCCCTGCAGCCTGTGTCCTGAACCTCCCAGGGGATGGGGTTCACCCAGCTCTTAGGGCCACCTCCACGTTGAGATGACCCCATCTGCACCAGCAAACAAACACAGCACACACTGCAGCGTCCTAACGAAGGGACAGTCTGCGTGGAGGTGTTAAATGTGGATTTACTGATAGTTTTCTCTTCTCCCCCTCTAGTGAAAAAGACAAGATCACCACCAGGACCCTGAAGGCTCGCATGGACTAGCCCAGCGTCTGCTCACACGTCTCACACCCCAGTCTGCTCGGAACTTTTTTAAATAAAACTCTATTGTAGTGAACTTTCCTTTTTGGTTTTTTTTTAGTCTGAACACCAGGATTCAGGTCTTGTCTCTAAAGCTGTCGGAAGGAGCTTGGGTTTTAGGTGGTAGCAGAGTTTATGTTTCTTTCTGAGCCACCTACGCTGATCTCCCTCAGCACACCCAGAGGTGTGTGTTGCACCCTGGGGAGTCAGCAACTCCTTCAGACACCATGGCAGTATTAGCTTTTTCCTGCCAAATCTTATTTATTCTCAAATCCAGGACTTGGTAAAATTAGTTCTTACTTAAAACCCCCATTTTACAGGCGCGTATAAAGACTTTTCCAGTTGTGGTTCATGTAGGACTTTTTAGAACGACCACGTACCTCACGGAGTCGAACGCTCGAGAGAGGACAGCGGGAAGGAACAGATGTACACAAAGTTTTTAATTTTATTTTTCTCTGGTTGGAGACTCATCTTGTAACATGCATGCATTTCAAAACAGTAACAGTGTCTCAAACTGCTCCTAGCAAACAGACAAGCACAGAGGACTTAAAATTCCTATTTAAAAAACAGCAGTGAAAAAAACCTAGAATGCTTTTTTTTTTCCTTTTAAAGTTTGAGATTAATTTATTCACATTGTTGGTTTTTGTTTTTGTTTTTTCCCCGGTCTCACTGATTAGCCCTGCCCACCCTTGTGACCTGTGTGTAATAACGCTCCCTTGGAGGCAACTGGCTCCCAGTCGCGTTTAAACCTCGTGTGGTAAAAACCGAGCCCGACACAAACCACCCGAGTGGTAAAAAGGGGAAAAACCCACTGAAAACAAGGGCTGAGCAGCAGCTGGTTCCCTCAGCTCTGCCGTTGCCATCGCACAGAGATAACTCCTTTTGTTTTTGTTTTTGTTTTTTTCCCCGGTCTCACTGATTAGCCCTGCCCACCCTTGTGACCTGTGTGTAATAACACTCCCTTGGAGGCAACTGGCTCCCAGTTGCGTTTAAACCTCGTGGTAAAAACCGAGCCCGACACAAACCACCCGAGTGGTAAAAAGGGGAAAAACCCACTGAAAATAGGGCTGAGCAGCAGCTGGTTCCCTCAGCTCTGCCGTTGCCATCGCACAGAGATAACTCCTTTCAGAGAGCAAGGGAAAATCAGTGGGGAACACGGAGAAGGGCTCTGCGGAAGTCGTTGATGGGCAAACCTGAAAGGGGGAGGAGGGGGGTGCAGCGGGGGAGAAAGGGGGCTGGTTTGGTTTTTGGAGCTATTTTTAAGGACGATCTGGCCCAGATGGGTTAACGCGGTGCCGCAAACCCAAGTTTAGGACACACACACACACACACGCAGGGAAAGGTTTGTACCACCTGGGGGTTCAACACTTTTGACCTCGGCGCAACGTCGGTAAAACTGCAGGGTGGTCACCCACGGGAGGCACTGGCCCACCGGGGCTGGCATGGCCTGTGACTACCATACACCCTCACACTGGGCCTTCCTTGGGCTAAAAGGTGAGTCCCCAGGTGACGTCTCCACCAAAGGGAGGGGTGGCAGCGCCCTGGAGGGGGAAAACCAGGAGTTTCCACCCAAAAAAAAGGAAGTGAGACTGCAGCGTTTGAAGTGGTTTTGCCAATTTATGATAATCCCAGTTGGGAACTGGGACTGGGGGAGGCAGGAGGTAGAGCCTCTCCTGTGCAGGAAATCTGGAGTCACCTACTACCCCAGAAGTTCTCCCCGTGATGAGTTTTTACTTTTCTAATTAAAACCAGGTCAATCAGAGGCGTGTAACGAGGCCGGCGGGAGGGATCCCACCCGCTCCTTGCTGTGAGAAGCCACCTCCTGCTGACAGTTTTCTTACACAAACAGCAAATCCCAGCCCTTTTTCCTGGTGCCCACCCCACGGGTGGGTGTTCCCTGGTACCTCCAGAACACGGGGGGTCCCACCAAAGGGTGACCCAATGTGTTCTCCTGTGGTTTCTAGTGCATTTTTGGGGCAGAACAGCACCCAAACTGCTATTCCACACCCCCCCTGACCTCTCCCTTTACTCTGATTCACACTGGAGCCAGATCCACGGGGGGGAGATGGAAGCTCTACCTTCAAAGCAGTTTTTTTTTGGTCTTAAATCTGGACAGATCAGGCCCTGTGCTCAGAAAGAACCTCATCACAGGCAGGAATTCAACTCCCACTGTTCACTTCTCACCCAAAAACCACCCTGCTCCGGGGCGTCGGAGAGAGACGCCGCATGCTATGATTATTTTTTTTCTTTTTTAAAACTCCAGTTGACCAAAATCTCTGAAATCTCTTGGAAAAATAAATAAATCCCATGTTCTGAGCGGGATGGGAGCGATGTGGCCGCCTGCCGTGGTGCCCACAGCCCAGGGTGGTTTTCAGTCAACTGCGCTTCAGCCTAAAGTGTTCATCAGGGCACAGGCTACAGACAGAAATATCTACATTCAGCAAAACTAGAACTAAATTCACACCAGAAAACAGACAACAAACTAGCACAAGCAGTTGGAAAACCAGAATTGAAAGGGCTGGGTTCTCCTTTTAAATACTCGAGTTAAAAAAAGTGACCTAAAACAAGATTTAAAAAAAAAAACAAAAAACCCAAACAAAAAAAAAAAAACCCAACCCAAACAACAAAAAAAACAAACCCAAAACAAAACAACAAAACCAAAAGAAAAAAAGTCCCTTTTAAAAACGAATCAAATATTTGCAGCTTCACTTCTTATTCTGGTAATAAAAATACTGTCTAGAAACAAAAATTAGCATTTTTAACGCAATGCTACCTTTCAAAATGTAAACAATATACAAAAATGCGTATGTTAAACAAAGTTACATACCTGGGTAATACATCATTAAGTGAGAGAATTGCATTTAATTACTTTAATACACACAGTATGGCAACTTGACAGAAGTGGCGGAACTGGGGAAGTGCTAAAGTGAATGGAGTTTATGGGGCTTTTCGGTCTCACTCGAGCCAGAGGCAGCCAATTGAATTCTACAGCAGGAGTTTCCTTGGAGTGGAATAAGAAAATAGAGTGAACTTGCTCTCCAGCCCTTCCAATCGCGACTTCTGTAAGGATTCCTGCAGGAACTACCTGCTTTTTCATTTCATTCCTCTTTGTGAAACTCAGGGAATGAGGCTGTTGCTCCAAGCAACGTTAAGATTCATCATTCACCTCCTCTCTTTGGGGTGTTTGTTTCGTGGTGTCTCGCTGCAGGCTGCCTGCAGTCCACCAATTTCCTTCTCTCTTCTCTTCCTCCCCCCTTTTTTCCTCATCTTTTTTAATACATGATTTCAAGAGAAACAGTTTAAAAAGGTCCAAGCCAGTTTCCCAAGAGGAGAAGGGCAAACTTACCAGGCCAAAGTTGCAGATTCAATGCGGATTTTTAAAACTGTCAAGAATAAAAAAAAAAGTGACCGGTATTTAATTTCTAATTGACAGTAAACTTAAGTGCTTCTTGTTTAAGAGAAAAGCAACCGATATAATGCCCACAAAACTAAGCTGATGATACCCTCTAAGTCCTCCCTTTTTTTTTTAAGGATTCTCATAGCTGCGTTTGTTTCGTGGCTTTTCCAGCGACACGAGAGTCTCTGCCCCCCCCGAGAGCGGTGTGTGAGCCCCCACATCACACAGGGGAGGGACTGGACGACAGTGGCAGAAAAAAAATTTGTCCCACGGCAAAGGGAATGACCCATGAATGAATAATAATAATAATAATAAAAAAAAAAATTCGTATTCCATTCTGAGCCCTAATACTCATTTTTCAGACTCTATTTACAGTGCACTCGTACGGGCTGAAACATCAGCCCCCTTTTTGTCCCCTTGGAAGTTGAGACCTGTGGGAAAAAAGAAATTCATATTCCATTCTGAGCCCTAATATTCATTTTTCAGACTCTATTTACAGTGCACTCGTACGGGCTGAAACATCAGCCCCCTTTTTGTCCCCTTGGAAGTTGAGACCTGTGGGATTCACGTCACGAATGTGGGGATGATCATAAAAAAAAAAAGCCAAAACCAACCCCAAGCCCACATTCCGAATCCAGACCAGAGCTAGTGTTAAGTCTAGGGAAGTTACCGGGATGTGATGAGCACCAGTTTTCTCTCAAAAGGACCAAATTCCACACAGCAAACTGTAGCACGCGTTACAGCACAGGACAGACATTCCCAACAGCGGATTCCCCAAACAAAGGCATATGTGAAAAAACAGTTTCAAGGCAGATAAGCGACATGTTTCAACTGCAAGAGGTTTTGTTCAAAACGCTAAATCCTGCTCGGAAAGAAAAATTTAAAAAAAAAAAAAGAAAAAAAAAGAAAAAACCAAAAAGAACCAAAAGATTTGTAAGTGTTGTGCAGCAGAGCTAACGAAACCCAACGCGCGTCTGACAAGCTTGGCTGTGAAAAATATTACAAGCTTTCTGGAGACAAAACAGGACGTTATTCAGTCACACAAATCAGTTCCAATCCCTTAAGAGTCGGGGGGAGAAAATAATCTGGCGCCAAGTGTTCAAACGTTTCCACTCCTCGACTGTGGCTCTCGGGAGGGGAACGGAGCAGAGAAGAGTCAAAAGAATCACAGCTCAAGTCCCGAGTCCTCTCGAGCGGCGGAACTGGCTCCAGTCACAGCTCCCAGCACTCCCCACCGGTAACCAGTCCAACTCCTTCGTGTGCAAGTCACATTGCCATGGAAAAAAAATTACACCCACTAAGCAAAGAACCTCCCGTCGGGAAACAAATTCAAGTACCTGTTGCAGATGGGGCGAGGAAGGAAGACTGAACATTAGCTAGATTAACACTGGCAGAACCGCGGCGTGAAGCTGGGATCTAAGAGAGACGGCAGCTCCTGACTGAGGGAAACCTTCCAGATAGTCAATACTATCCCGTATCTACAGGTACAAAATGCTTTTGTTATTTCTCTTTTGTTTTTTTTTCTCTTTTCTCTTAGGAAATCCTCATAATTGGCCAATTTAAAGCACAACGGGTCCGAGCACGTTATTATCTGAGGTTGTTCAATGCCTCTACTACCTCTCACACTGGTTTTTTTGTGGTTTTTTTAGGTTCTAGGAGTTACACCTTTTGAAGCGATCATCTTTGGTAGATGTTCATTTCCCTCGTCTTTCTTGTAAATCAAGTGCAGTTACAAAAAAAAAAAGAAAAGAAAAAAAAAGAAAGTTTTTTGTTACTTAAATTAACCAAAAAAATATAAAGTGTCCCAGTCTGAATTTACCTAAAGTTCAGCGACTCCTCCTTATCAGAGTAATATTTTCCATCCTTGAAATGATGAGCTATTTTCCTTCCAATTCCTACCAAGAGGGAAATAAAAGGGCTTGTATGTCTTTCTGGTAAAGACAGTCCAATAATAAAAAAAAAAAAAAGAAAGAAAAAAGAAAAAAAAGTAGTAGTTTGTGGAATCAGGCACTGCTTCACTCCCACTGACCGTGATCTAGAGCGACCCCTTTCAGACAGTGCCACGTCTCGTATCCCTGTGGGATTCTCTGGATCAGAGAGGAGAAAACGTCATTAGAAAGAGCAGTGCTGAAACAATGCACTTTTTTTTCTTGTTTTAAAAAGCCCTCAAAATCTATGTCTGGGCACTTCTTGTAACATAAAAACCCACTTTTCCACCTGGGTCAAGTGGACTGTTGGAGGGTGCACCTAGAATTAGTTTTTTTTCTCTTAAGTCACACAGTGCCACACACTCGCTCTTGCACACACACACACACACACACGCACACCCCACATGCTGCTACAGTGTCTGTTTTAGTGTCACAGGCTGCGTTCTCTGTTTGGAAGTAGCCCCCTCTTCTCTTCATTTCTCGCTGAAGGCTGGAGACGACTATGTCAGGATATTGGAGATAAATTCGTTGAAGCGTTTCGAGTACTGCTCTGGGTTCACGGTGGAGATCTCTGCCCCAGCCTGCAAGGCAGAGAGGAGACAAGTCACAACCCCCTCCTGGAAGGGCAGACCCTGGCAAGGGAGGGAGGGAGGGAGGGAGCCATCGTGTCACCACAACCTGGCTCTGCTGGGCAAGACCCCTAACAACATCCAAGATCTGGGGAAAAACAGTATCTAGAGAGATCCCCCCCAAAAAACTGATTTTAGCTCCAGCTAGATCTTCTGCAGACCACTGACTCCAAGCATCACATTTGTTCCCTTATGGTTTAGAGAAGATTTGGAAGGAGCATGAAAAACTCCATGTCCTGCTAACCTCTTCCAAATCCCTTTTGGGAAGTTCAGGCTTTCCAAGCTTTTCTCAAGCCCTTTTGGGAAGTTCAGGCTTTCTAGGATTTTCTCAAGCCTTTCTGGGAATTTTGGGATTGCTGCCAGGGAACAGGACTGGCCCCAGGAAGGGGACAGGGTAGGACATCTCCCTGCAGCCGGTCCGTTCCCCCTCTGCTGGTGCAGGGAAATCAAGCACCTCCCAAACTGGGACGTAAATACAAGTCACCTCCAACCAACCAGAGGGAAAGCCCTTCCAAGACAGTCTGAGGAGACAGCAAGTGAGGGAAGAGCTGGTTTTGGGCACAGGATCACTGGAGAATTTCCATACTGGTAGAAAAATCAGCATCAGGAGACATCAGAGACACCCAGGCAGGCAAAGCAGAAGCCCCAAAGCCCATCCTCCCTGCAGGCAGGAGGCTGCTTACCCCGTGTTTCACCGTTTTGGCAGCATGTGCAGCTTTCTTCTTCGCATCGTATGGCGTAAGAATGTCTATAATGGCCATGAAGTACACTTCCTTCTTGGGGGCACCTAGCAAGGCAAGAGAGTCGCTAGCACACCCTTGAGCTGTGAGCAAAGCCCAGCTGCACCCCCTTTTTTCAGAAATACAGGGCAGATTTGGTTTGCTGCAACCAGCAGAGAAAGCGAGGCAGCTGGAGGCTGTGGAACAGCAGAGAAGAACGACTGGAAACAGCACACCAGAGACCCACACACTCTCTGAACCCTCCAAGCATCACTTCTACCCACTCCAACTCACACAACGGACCGTACAGCAAAGGAGAGACATGGCAGGGTGTCTCTCTCTCTCTCTGTGGACAGTTCTCTTCCTCTATTTAGCCCAGACAGACCAGGGGACACCTCCTCTGTCCTCCAAGACCTTCCTCAGGGCAATATTCATACTCATACTCACTTTCGTGGCTTTTCATGGCGTAGACATCGACGGAAGGATCGAACTCTCCGGGCCCGAAGAAGCGAGGGTAGTTGAGGAGGTTGCCAGGGCTGTCAGGGGGGGTGCCATAGGAGGAAATGGGGTTGCCTCCCAGACCATCGTTCTCACACTCCTCATCCTCTGCCCGATCCTCCACTTCCATCTCTTCCTGCTCTGCTCGGTCGACGTCGTGGATCCCAACCAGCAAGCTGTAGTCCATAATCTTCAGCTGAGCTAAAAACTGGGAGAAAGAGATGAGTGAGAAACAGCATCCACGTGGGATCAGAAACCCTCAGTCCCACCCTGCCAGAACCTCCCTAAGCAAAGGCTGTAGTGAGAGCTAAACCCTTATAAGACTCCAGAGAATCTACACGAGCTCATATGTCCACTTCCACCAGCCACCCTGACTATTTTCTTGACTGACCCACGAATTACTTCTTTTTTTTCAGTCACTGCTGCCCCCCTGGAGCCAGAGGCCTCAGTGAGGATCCAGTTATGGGAGACAGAATAAAGCTGTCCCTGGGGAAGCTCTACCTCCACATCCCGCTTCAGCTTTTCAAGGAAGTTCTTTTTACTCTCTTCTCCAACGTGCAGCTTCTGACCCTCATTCAAGAAGTCGTTGTCCTTGAACGTTGGTAGGTCCTTGGCCTGCAATGAAAAACCTGCGTTAAATTCTCCAAACCCTGACTTTTTGGGGGGAAGGCTGGGACACTGATCCATACACTGAGCACCCAGAGACCGAGCGTGGGGTGGCACCAGGGTCTTTTGCCTGTTTATAAGGTGAAGTGTCTCATCCTCTCCACTAAGTATGAAAGTGCCATCGGGCACAGCACAGTATCTGTCAATGAATCCACGTGCTGAGCTGTACCCGGGGGGGAACTGAAGGGAGACACAGAGAGTAACTCAACTTTAGAGACCGCCGGGAAGATGTGCTGCAGGCTGAAAACTCCACAGTTGGGCTCCAGCCAGAGACGGTCCAACCAGCTCCCAGAATAGAAAAGAAAAGCATTTTGTTGGCTTCTGGAAGGGGGGAGGGCTTGAAAAAAAAAATAAAAATGCTTCTCTCCCTAAAGGCTTGAGGAAAAAATTAAAACCACTTCTTGCTGAGGAATCCGCTTGCAGCAGGCCCTGAGGATTTCTCAGGGCTATGGAAGAACACACAACCCCTTTGTGCAGCTGGGAATTAAATTATTTTGTTCTTAAAATGACATACGTGCGGTGGCTTTATATAGATCTAATATGAATGGTCTGAGACACACTGCATAAGCAGAAAAAGCTCCAGTAAACAGCCAGCAAGCCAGGGACGCTTGGGCACGATGTAGTTGTGCTTTGACACCAAAGCATTCGGTGTAAATGGGAGTTCCTCGGCTCGTGCCAGAGGTGTAATTTCAGAGCAGGATGGAGTAAACCAACTCTGTGCTCCCAAACCTGAAAATCCCACGTGCAAAACATGCAGTACCATGAGTTACTGCCGTGATTTCAACGGGACTTTTCAGAGCAGCATCACAACCAAAGTTTTGCAGGGGCAGGATTCTTAAGTCCTAAGTTTCCCTAACGGCCCCAGAAATTAACCTTACAGACACGCTGAGACACACCAAGAATCTGAGAGAAGCTGCTCTGGTTTATGAAAGCATCTGTTGCAAAAGCTACCAGCTGACTCGGTCTGGTACCCAGGGAGCACTATGAGGAAATCACAGAAATCCTTCCACGAAGACACCATTGCACTAACGTGGGGGTTTGGCACTATGAAAGCATCTGTTGCAAAAGCTACCAGCTGACTCGGTCTGGTACCCAGGGAGCACTATGAGGAAATCACAGAAATCCTTCCACGAAGACACCATTGCACTAACGTGGGGGTTTGGCACTTGTGGGATTGTCCCCCAGGCAGTTTAATTTAATATCCCCTGCTCAATACACCTTTGGAAAAGGGAAGTCAGTTGGATCCCATCTGCTTCCAACCACTGGGAGGAAGGAAAGGCTGGCCAGGAACAGTCCATACCTTCTCTTTATCGCTTGCTTCCCTGGATACTGTTGAGCCCTGAAAAAAGAATAAAGGAAAGAGAATTGCTGCATCATTCACAAAGAATCCATTGACACCATTTAATTCCTCCACGCAGAAAAATAATGAAAGTATTTTTAAAATCCGTGGTCAATCCCTTTTTCATGCCTGAGACAGACTTACAGATCTATTGCACTAACGTGGGGGTTTGGCACTTGTGGGATTGTCCCCCAGGCAGTTTAATTTAATATCCCCTGCTCAATACACCTTTGGAAAAGGGAAGTCAGTTGGATCCCATCTGCTTCCAACCACTAGGAGGAAGGAAAGGCTGGCCAGGAACAGTCCATACCTTCTCTTTATCGCTTGCTTCCCTGGATACTGTTGAGCCCTGAAAAAAGAATGAAGGAAAGAGAATTGCTGCACCATTCCCAAAGAATCCATTGACACCATTTAATTCCTCCACGCAGAAAAATAATGAAAGTATTTTTAAAATCCGTGGTCAATCCCTTTTTCATGCCTGAGACAGACTTACAGATCTACCTGGAGAGCTGTAGGCCACTTGGGATAGGGAAACACAATTAAACCTCAACTGAAGCCCCATCCAGAGCCCCCAGAATCTAATCCCCTGAACAAAAAAGCAAAGCCCAGGACCTTGTCAAGTAGGTGTGACAAAGACCAACTCCCACCCTCCTGGAAAAGGAGTGTTTGGCCTCCAAACCCTCACCTTCAGGTCATATTTCCGGTGCACAGTCAGCCTGTGACTAAATACGTTTCTGGTAACCACCATGTAGGTCTCCACTCCATCCACGGTGAGCCGATACATGCCCAGGAACTGGGGCAGGAGGGTGTTCCCATGACACTCCACGATGAACTGGAGGAGAACGGGGAAGGGAAGGGCAGAGAAAGACAGTACTGTCACACAAAACCCATCTCCCACCAAAGCTGATAGCGAAGCCTCCAGTTCCAGCCACCTGACACCGATGTGAAAGGGAAGGAGGGTTGCAAATGGCTCCTAAGGTGTCAAGAAAAGCAAGTTTGGGCATTGTAAGCATCTTCCAGCCCTGAGCCAAGACACAGCATCCCATTTGTGTGTGTGTCCCGCCTGCTGGAACAGACTGGGTGTGCACATCCCTCACCCAGTCTCAGCCGGGCAAGTTACTGGCAGTGGCCAACCCCACTTCTTGTGGTTACGTGAGTAGATCTGAAAGTAAAATGCAGATGGATGGGCAGATAACGTGGACCAAGGTAGAACATTTCCAGCTGTCCCACTTTGCTCCCCCCCAACTCCTTCCCTGCTGCATGAAACTGTCTCCTCCTTGGTCCCTCTGGAAAGTCTAACTCAAAGGGTCGAATTAGGAGCGTGTTTGCAGATCTCAGGTACCAGCGATCCATAATTCATTGATGTAAGGAACAGGGTGAGCTGTGAAGGGGCTCAGCGCTGCAAAGAAACAGGCAGCTGCGCCATAATTGGCTCTCAGGTGCTAAGGAACACTGTTTTCTTTTGCAAAAGCTATTTGCCAGCTCTGCCAGGTCGCACGCTGTGAATCCAAGCTCCGGTTCCCCAGCAAATGTCACCAGATGCTCCCCAAGGTGTTTGTCACCTCCCCTCCCGGGGTTCCAGACTCACCGTACCTGATGGTACTTCTTTAAGATGTTGTGCATCTCTGCTACGTCCTCGCTCGACACCGCCTTAATGACAAACCTCCTGTCGTAGGTGGTGAGGAACCGGGCCCCACATCGGCCCTGGCTGTCGCTGTTCACCGGGGCGCTCCGTGTCACCGAGTTCTGAGGGAACCAGAACAAAAAACAGTGGGGAGGAGAGGCAGGAGCTGCCACCCCCCTGGAGAAAAAAACAGAAGAGCCAGTCTTGGGATGCGGATGAGACAGGGGTGACCAGAAACAGCTCCACAACCTGGACCTGGAACAACAGACATCTCAGGGGCTTTGTGCTCCACCTTTGTAACCATGTCCTGGCCGAGGTTCAGAGCACACTCACACACACACCACAGTCGTGACGATTAATTAAAGCAAGAACCCTCGAGTGTTCAGCACTACCAAGGTCAACCCAGCTCTTTAGAAGTCTGGATATTGAGTTTAGAGCTTCCATCTTGGCCTTCTCTCCATTTACACGTTTTACTCCAACATTTGATGGGCATTTTGGAAGACTTTTTTACTAAGGGGTTTTTAAAGAGGCAGTTATACACAGGGCAAGACTGCTTATAGCATCTCCTCCTGGGAATTTAAAAACAGTCAGGACACTTTCAAGGTTTAAGGGAAAACAGAACAAAATGAATTACATGGCCTGCCTTCTTTTCCATCAAAAAGCAGCCTAAATCAGGAAAATTCTCATTGTTTGGGAATTCTTTACAGGTCATCCTGAAACCAAAAGCCACCCTCAGCCCCTGCTATTCTTACAATCGGACGAAAAAGGCTGAGAGTATAAATAGCTCGGCTGTTCTTCCGACAACCAGCAGCATCTGCCTTTACATCCCTGTCTCCACCCTTAGCAACGAGACGTTGCGGCTTCTCCTCGTACTTGCAGCACAATTGGAAAATCCCAAGCAAACTGCAGGGCGAGTGTCCCCCATGTCCCCTGAGCCACAGGAGGAGTTCCTTGTTCCGATGCCTCTCCCCAGGCAGGGCACTCGCTGGGAGCCTCATCCCACCCTCAGAGCCACTGCTCTTCCCACCTTCCAGACTAACCCCCAACCAGGTCACTGGTCTCCTGCCTTGTTTCCTCCACCACTTTTTCACTGAATTTCACTGAATTTCTAGAGTTGGAAGGGACCATAGAGATCATCTAGTCCAACTCCCCTGCTGAAGCAGGATTGCCCAGAGCTTGTCAGAGCATGTTACTCAGGAGCATCCAGCCGGGTCTTGAAAATCTCCAAAGAAGGGGACTCCACACCCTCCCTGGGCAGCCTGTTCCAGGGCTCTGCCACCCTCACCGTGAAGAAGTTTCTCCTCATATTTGAGTGGAACCTCTTCTGTTCCAACTTGTGCCCGTTGCCCCTCGTCCTCTCACTGGGAACCACTGAAAAGAGTCTGGCTCCCTCCTCCTTCAACCCTCCCTTGAGATACTTGTAGGCATTGATAAGGTCTCCCCTCAGCCTTCTCTTCTCCAGACTAAAGAGTCCCAGCTCTCTCAGTCTCTCCTCATAAGGGAGATGCTCCAATCCTTGAATCATCATCATCATCATTTTCAGCAACCGCCTTCCATCTCCACCACCTGACACCTGGGCAGTGGTTGGTAGCTCAAGGTAGATGTGATTTTCATGATCTCAGGGCTGGACAATGCGTTTCAGGATGTATTTTTTTAGCTGCCACTTACACTGCTCTCTGTGTCCCCCAGCTCTCTGAGGAGCAGACACCAGAGGGAGCCTGCTCTTCCACACACCCAGACATGCAGAAAGAAGGATTTACCGTGTCACGCTGCAAGTGAGCCGAGAGGTTTCCTTTCAGAATGAAGCATTTAAAGCTTTTAAAACTTTAATGAAGCAGGGGAAAAACTCTACTCCTGCCAAGGGCTTTGGAAACCGTCAGGAAAATAAAGGCAAACAAAAAAAACCCACCCTTTGCTTCTTGCTGACATTTGCAAATGAGTCTGTGCTACATAGTTTAATCACCCCCTCACCTCAAAACCACAGAGCTTTTCTTCTAGAGGAGATGAGAAGCAGAAACCATGACCACATATGGACATTACCAAATTCATAGCCCTTAGGTTTACTTTGTTCCCTTCCTGTCACTCCCACCTCTTCCAGAGTTCGGGTGTTATATTTAGCATCCTGGCTCCATTCCCACTCAAGCCATCAAGTTTTACCCACCTGAATTTAGCTCAACGAACATTTTCTGCTTTCTGTTCTAGCTGGACACTTTTAAAAAGCCAAACTGCTGTACCCCAGGGATGGGAGAATCAATCCTTCAGAGCAATAGGTAAGGCATAAATGATAATTGAGAGCCACCAGGATTGTGGGTGCTTCTACGTGAGTTACTTCACATGGTTCTGATCGTAAAAGAAACCGAGAAGAAAATGTCTAAAATACACTATAGTGGATGGACTGGGAGAAAAAATAATTAGGAGCTAATGACTCCACTGCATGCAAGTGTGATGAAGGGTATGGAGGAAGCCAGCACACAGTCATTCCCTGGCACAGGCAGCCCCAGGGGCAGGGTGTTGCTGGCCAAGCCATCGCCGCAGGAGCCACACGCAGCCTGGCACCAAGGGCTGTCAACAGACCCCGAGGCAACGGCACTGCTCCTCCTGGCAAAACCAGTCGCTGCCTGGAGAGCGGGCCTGGTGGTAGGAGGGGAAAAAATAAAATTAATAATCTAACAGGCACGTGCTCAAGAAAAGCGTGGACTGAGCAGCCGTGTCCTGAGAATAAGAAGAGATCTTCCATCACACGCAGGAGAGATGAGCGTGCGCAGCTCGCAGGTAATTAAAAGGCACTGAGCACACACGGGCACAACAAATGCCACCTGCATCCTAATGCTGGGCTCCGTCAGCAGACGGGCAGTCACCCAGGCCAGAGCCATGCCAGGCAAACAGGAGGCAGCCGCCAGCATTTACTGCTCCTCCTGGGGCTGGCTGGCCCCTTGCAGAAGAGAAGCAAAGATGACTGTCAGTTCTGCTGGGAAAAACGTGTCTCACTTGGAGCACACACCCTCAGAGTGCCCAGCGTGCCTGAGAACAGGCAGCAGAGCAGGATGGGGCCTGGCAAAAAGCCCCAAACACCCAGCTTGGTACCCTCAGAGGTCAGCTCTTCTCCCAGAGGGACCAGCATGTCCCCCCTTGGCCTAGGAACGAGGGGCAGAGGAGGGGATGCAGGTGCTCCACATCTGCTCCTTGGTCCACACCACATGAGACCAGAGACTAGATCAAGCAGACCCAGTGTCACACCATGAGTAAGAAAACAGATCTCTTCGTTATATTAACCTTGAAACGGCAGATTGGGCAATAACCTACATATAATCATGAAGAATTCTGTCATGCTTGGGGAGGGTGTATATATGGACATATGTGGGCACAGGCACACACACACACACACAGTACCAGAAGGAAGCAGTTTGGTGGGATGAGCAGGAACAGCTTCTGCTCCTGTCTCCTCTCCCCAGAGTGCAGGCAGCAGGAGGGAGCACGGCTGGGTTTGTGGGTGAAGCAAAGGAGGGGGAGAGGGAGCAGCCTGCACCCTCCGGCTCCAGCGCTAACGGGCCTCTCTGGGGCTGAGCAGATTCCAGGGAGTATTTCAGCAGAAGCCCTGGACCAGGCAGAGCTGGCCTCTCGCCAGCCTTTATCAACTGCAGCCGAGTGCCAAAGATACGGGGTTTAATTACCTAACACTCAGGCTGCTAAAGGCCACGCAGCTATCAAAGCCACCCGCTTTTGCCGCGCTGGCTTTTCCCTCTTTTAAGAGGTCTCTGAGGCTACTACACGCCTCTTGCTTGCCTGAAACTACACACTGTGTGTGGCAGGGCAGCCCTGCTGCAGCAGCAAGAGCTGCCACATCTCTCTGTCACTGGATTTAAGCCCATTCTGCCTTGTTTCTCCCCTCCAAGGCAAGACTGAGCCTCCGGCCTCGGGGGACAAATCCCGAAGCAGCAGCCACCTCAACAAACCCAATTCAACAGCACATACACAGGGTTAAAAGAGCACCCAAATCTGTAAAAAATACAACAGACTCATTTTCCTTGCAGATGTTCTGCACTAGATCATCGTTATCCTCGAGCTGCCGCCTGTCTGCAACCATCTGCTGCCTCTTCCTTCATGCCCAGACTCGAAGGGCTCTGGAGCAGGGACCATCTTCTCTTTCTGCCATTGCCCAGGCCCTGGCACAGCAAGATCTATTCCCCCAACATTATGGGAAAACCATTCAAATCCCATTTATAAGCCCATAAAAAAGTGACCACACGAGAACATCAATATTGTAGATTCTTTACCAACTTGGTTATTCTGTCCTAGGGAAAGGTGGAAGGAGGGCAGGGAGAGAAGAGACGGTACCTGGTAGTCTTGATCGTCAATCCCAAATCTTTCCCGGAGGTTTCGGAACACCAGTGGACAATACTCCTTAAATTTAAAGCGACTTGGCAAGTTTTCCCTAGGGCAAAGCAGAAAAGATATTCTTGTGCAATGATCAGTTTGTGAAATCAAAGTTAATTCTTATTCCACTTTACTGCTAACCCCCTCCCAGGACACCCAAGCCCCCTCCTGCCCTATTCTGCAAGTTTTTACCCTCGCTAGGGCAGTTTGTTTCTTTGGATGCCTATAAAAGTCATCTGTTCCTAGAAATGCTTGCAGGATCCAGCTTTTGACTAAGGGGCTCTTTGGATGAGGATGCCGGCCTTGCAGAACAATCTCCCCTGTCACAAGCACAGATTTGACAGAATAATTTCCCTCTTCCCTCCTCCTTTGTTGCTTTGTTCCCTTCAGTAACACAGCTGCCCCCTGCAACACACTGGTACTGCTTGAGATGAAAAGCTGGAGGAAAGAAGAGGGAGGTGGGGGGGGGGGTCTGATTTCAGATCAGATCAGATCACTCGTGCGTCAAAAGAAAGGTCAACACAAGACAAACCATCTCGCCCAGAACGCAAAGGAGATGGGGTGAATCAGCTCCAGTCTGGCATGTTCCAGACCAGTCCCAACTGTTCCAATGAGCTTTGCTGCCAGCCCTCACCAGCTGGGAACGGGGCCTCCCCAGTGGACAACAGAGAACGCTCCCCATCGCTGGGAGATGCTGCATCTCCTCCCTATCAGAGCCCTTATTCTATCCCATGGGAAGCAGCAGAGAGGATGGTCCTGCCTGGACACAGAGGGAGATTTTGTCACCTCATTCTCAATGAGAATCCTTTGCACCAATGTGTAGGAAACTAAAATCTCTGCAGGAGAAGAGGGAAGAGCAGCTACTGCAAATGGTGGGTGCCAGAGAAGACAAAGTTTTGAATCACATTCCCGCTCTCAGACCTGATCCCTGGGAAACTCAGTGAAAATGAAGCATTAAATATAAACCAAACCACAAATCTCAGTGATAGAGTGACCCCTCGCCACGTCCTGATGGTGCTCTGGGGGGCATGTGTCCCCCACATCACATCCTCTAGGCATTACAACAGGGAACAAACCAAAAGGCTTTCACCACACCAGTTTCGCCCACAGCAAAGAGCTCTAATTATAGAGACAAACAAGTTGGGAAGCACCTACTTACTTGTTGAATAGATGATTGTCCACCTTAATCTTACTGTAGGCTTTAAAGTCATCGGGCATCAACATGACAGGGACGGGAACATTGCTGAGTTCGTTGATCTAAGAGAGAAAGGAAACAGAGACTCTAAACTCAATTTCCACCACCCTGAAGTTACCAACAATGGATTTACAGGGATGCCAAACACCCCAGAAGCTGGTTTTGAAGCACTATAACCCCTTAGACTTTCAGGGCAACCTGCTGTGCTGAAGGAACCTGGAGAGCACTGTGGTTACAAGCCACAGGAGCATCTCAATCATGTGGCAAATCCTCCTGAGCCAGACTCAGCTCTTCCATCTCTTCACCTTCCACTGAGCATCCAAGATACAGCTCAGAACTGAGACAAACCTACAGACCGAGAAACAGCAGATTTTGTGTTTGAAATAAATCACCTTTGCCCTTAGGAAATGTTGCATCAGGCAATTTCTTAACTGGTTCTCACAAATCAGGGATGACCTGATGGTCTCCAGCACGACCAGCCAGAGGAGACTCTGGGCAGCTTCAGCACAGCCCAGCCCAGCTCCCCTGCGGATGCTGCTTCTCTGCTCACTGTCTCTTGTCGCTCTTATCCCACCTTCTCTGAAGGGATGAGTCACTCCACTAGATTGTTTTTGCTCCTTCGTCATGTGTGGCAGCCACAGGGACGCAGGGAAGGAGAAGAATGAACGGTTCAGCTACTATTGTACAGGCGGGCTCATGCTACAGCACCCAGCAGCGAAAGCATCAAGAGGAAAAAAAATGAAAAATAAAAATAAACCCACCTCTGGACTATATCTGGCAGCCCTGCGCCAGACGAGCCCGTGCACTGACAAGGACGTGCCAGCACTCAAGAGCAGGTCAAGAGGCAGCACGTTTCTGAGCTGCCTTTGGTGAGGACAGCCCCAGCCTCACTCGTTCATTCACAGGGAATCACCCGAGTCCCATCTAATTGAGCCGCTATTAACATGCTGGATTCAGGAAACAATTTAATTACAACTCCGTCCCCATAACTCCTGTGCCAAGCAGGTAATGCTGGAGAGAAGCAGATGAGGCTGGCAAGCGTGGGTTTTGGCTCGGAGTCAGGCCTGGGGTCTGTTCCCAACACCAAAACCTTGGGCAGGTTGTGACTTCCAGCTTGGAAAACCCACGGAATTTCCCCACTGACAGGGAATGGGGTCCAAGCCATCAGGCTGAGGAAAGGGACCCCAGTTCTGGGATTCCCCGCTCCTTGCATGCAACAGGACATGAAATACTGTCCCCAAAGAGCTGCTGCCACATCTCCGAGGAGGCGGCGGAGATGAAGGGAGGCAGGAGGGAGCTGTTCTGCAGCAGAGATCCATGTGGCACATGGAGGTCCCAGCTCTGGAGCTGCACAGTGAGCTGCCTAATTACATGAGCAAGCCTTTGATGAGGTATGGTATTTTTCACATCCTTTCTCCCATCGTTACCAATGAAAAAGCCAGACCAGATTTAACAAACGTCAGACTGGAAAAGAAAAAGACACACACACACACACTCTGCAAAGAGAAAAGATGACTATTTTCAGCGACAGTCATCCCACACAACAGATAAGCGGGAAGTAAACCGGCCACCGCTCCCTTAGGAGCCCAGATCTTTAAAACCCTGCACAGTATTTACTTTAGAGCAGCACCAAGGAGCATTAAGCAATCCCATGAAGTCCTTTGGGATGTATAGAGAATGCTGCATAGATGAATGAATAAATAATGTCCTACGCCTCCCACCATTTGTAATCACAACAGAGCAGGGAGGCCAATACCCCCTGGTTTATGCTAAAGGCTCCATCCTGCCCTGAGCCACGGAGCAAGCCCCAGGTTGGAGAGAGATCTCCTAGATCCCAAGATCCAGCTTGATCTCCTAGATCCAAAGATCCAGCTCCCAGCTACGGCAGGGAGCTGTATCTGAGAGCCCCCTGCAGTGATTTCCCCTCAGGGTGAAGGTGGGGAAGAGAAAACAGCTAATTCTGTATCAAGAAAGAGGCGCTGCCTCCAGCCACTAATTATCACTGTCTAACAGGAGGGGAAGCCCGACAGCACAGCTCCTTAGACACGCCTGCTCTCAGCCCTCTCCTCGGCGCTGGGGAAGGCACAAACAAGCTATTATCAGCTCGTTCCAGCGCGGAGGAAGGGTGCTGACGGCTGAGAGGGAACAGCGGATTTTGGAGATTGTCTCCTCCCCGCCAGAAATTCAGACACAAACGTTAGCAAAGTGAGATGTCAAGACGTCTCTGGATGTCCTCGTTTCTGCCAAAAAGCAGAAACCTCAAAGCGAACCGTCGTACCTGTTGCACGTCTCCTGACTGGCAGAAATGGTGCGCCACGACACCTCGTCTCCCTTTCAAAGATGCCCCCACTCCTTCCCAAGATCTAAAACCTGACAACAGCAAAAAAAAAAAAAAAAATCCACCCCCTGCAAGAGCCTTTTCTCCCTTCCAGCTGCACTCAGCAGAGCTTTCTGGATGCTTCGGGATTCTGGCTCTGGAGGAGATGGGGAGAAGGAAGGGATTTGTGCTGGGGACTAGAATCGCTGCCAAAGAGCTAGAATGGCCATTTCTAGCCCCAGAACTGACAGCCTGCTCTGGATCCACCACACAGGGCAGCTTCTGGTCAGCCAGCCACTGGGCTTCTGCTCCCAACACCAGTCTGAAAGCAAACGTGGGTTCCATTCAGGTTTTTTTTATTTGTTTGATTGGTTTTGTTGCTGTTTTGTTTGCTGCTAAAGAGCTAGACTGGCCATTTCTCGCCCCAGCACTGACAGCCTGCTCTGGATCCACCACACAGGGCAGCTTCTGGTCAGCCAGCCACTGGGCTTCTGCTCCCAACACCAGTCTGAAAGCAAACGTGGGTTCCATTCAGGTTTTTTTTATTTGTTTGATTGGTTTTGTTGCTGTTTTGTTTGGTTTTTTTAGGCAAGAGGGATGTGCACTGCCTGCTCCCACAACAACTCTCCCCCTTGACACTTTCCTCAGGATGCCAAAGGGAGAGGAATGGAAAGCCCCTGACACCGCCTTGGAAAAAGGGATATCCCAAACCCTCCCTTCTTGCAGCACGATCCTCAGCATCCAGTGCCCCTTCCTAAGGCTTATCGGGCCGGGTCTTGCCAACTGGTGCCAAGTGAAACCCTAGGAGACCGTGCCCAAAGGAAAGCAGGGGACAGCACCAATCCAGAGGGATCCTCTCCTCCGCTTATCGCGGTGGAATCTGAGCAGCCTCCGAGAGCAACGTGACTAACGCCTGGCACATGTTTGCTCTCTCGCCTTCTCCCCAGGGAGAGGCGTGTAGCAGGAGATTATATATAGCAGAGTGTGTGTCTCCGTGTATTTATGCTCCAGAAGGCAAGGTCACAGCAAGGTGCCCAGCGATGAGGTGCCCGGTAACCCCTGGCTCCTGGGGAGCCCCTTCCTGCGGGTCTGACCCGTCTCCCAACAAAGAGATGTCACCCAACTGCAGAAGGTTTGCCTGTACCTCGACCTTTGGAGATGTCTGGGGCTGGTGGTGGCCACAAGAGGGGACAGCGAGATGTTGGGACTTGGTGCTTTGTTCTGGAAGAGGCAGCTGGGGAGAATGGAGGTGCAGGAGCAGAGAGCAGTGTGGTCACACACCTCGGTGTCCCCTCTGCAGGGCTCAGGGGCTGTTTAGAGAAGCAGCAACTGGGAATTGTGCTGAGGTATCTCCACACCCCCGCTACAAAGGCTCCAGAGGTCCCCAAAGCGGAAAAAGTTAAGAACAGCTAATTTAGAGCACAAGCTCTTCAGAGCAGGGATCTGTCTCCAGACCCAGCATGGTGCTGGTTTTCTGTAAGTTATCCAGCTTTTTTGACCTAATCTGCTTTGGAATCCTCTTGAAAATAAGCCCCTGGTTTTGCACAGTCCTCTTATGCCTGGAGTTTTCTATTCCCCCACTGGGTAGAAAGCACAGACAAGCTGACAGGGACCAGTCCTGGCCTGAAAGCACCATTAAGAAGGGCATTTTGCCACTGGCACCTGCGTTTTGCAGCAAGACAAGCCACCGTCCCCCCCCAGGCCAAAGACAGTGTGAATGGCACATGTCCCCCCCGAGCATCACAAAAGGCTCCGAGGCTCTCAGTGGAGCTCAGAGGATTTAAAACCAAGACACATTTTAGACAAACCAACTGACATCTTCACTAGGCAACAGCAGGGGCACCGAGAGAGAGCGATGCTTCGCATTTCTCTGCTGGTTTCACCACGTTTTGAGAACAAAAGAGCCATTTCCCAAGCAAGGCAAGCAGCCCCCTGCTCCTGGAGGTCACCCTGGCGAGGAGACAGGAAAGGCAGCAGATCTCCCCGTGTGTCAAACAGCCCCGATCCCAGCCGGAGCCCCGGAGGGAAAGGCAGCCTGATGGCACTGCAGGAAGGAGCAGGGCTTGGTGATGGTGAGAAGACCTTCATCTCTCCAAAGCCACATTTTGGCCAGAGGAACAGCAAGCTCAGCTCCACCGTTTCTCCAGCTCCTCAGCCGGCAGCTCTTCCCCTTCCCCCCGCAGCAGTGGCCGGGCCCTTCATCCTCAGTCAGCAAAATCCATTTTTCCCTACTCCTCTGAGAAGTTCCACATCCAACCCTGGTCTCAACGGGCTGGGAAAATACCACCTCCCCTCCGTGGTTTCTGGTCACTCAAATTCCCGAGCAACACCCGTCGGTACAACTCTGGGTTTATCTGTAGCTGATAATTTCTCTTCCCCACCAAAGCCAATTCCTTTTTCAATAAAAGGCACATCAATATTCTGTGTCATTCAGGGACAGCTGTTAGAACGAATGGGCCAGGCATAATTTTGTTTCAAAACCTGACTGTAGCCTCAAAGTGGCAATTACCATTAGTAAATTGATGGGAAAATGCAATTTGTTTACTAACAGGATCCAGATGATGGAGTGTGTGAGTCTACTCTCTAGGATTCTTTACAACAGGAATTTGCTCAGGAAAATAAAAATACTTTGTTCCTCTCAAAGCCTTTCAATCGGGCATCTCAAAGTACTTTGTGAGCATTAGTTAAACTTTATAATACTCTCAGGACGTAGGTAAAAGACACCTAGAAAAATCACTTTAGTATGGAGACA